TTAGTATGGGACATTCAGAAAAACTCTCACAAGTTTTGGGTGCTGAATCCACTGATCGAATGTGCCGTAGCGATTGCGTTCGTGGTCTGTGATATCTGTGGCCGGTCTCACCAGGAACAATTTCTCTAGCCGCCAACGAACAACGGTTTTTCACTATCTTTTTGGTCCAGTATCAACAGAGCCCAAATTGTATTTAAAAGTCATCTTCTGTGTTGTTCCGAATGAACTTACTTGCACAGATTTTGTGACTTTACCATCGATGCAAACTTTTGAGATTACCTTAATATATTTATGTTTGAAATGACAATGTGAGGTGAGAGATCGAGGTTATTCTCTGATACTCACTACAATTTTGTCATACCAGTATGGGCTCGTTTGAATTATTTCAGTCCAGATTATTCCTGTGTACACCGTAACCGTTTCTACGCCTATTTCCTTTAATAAACTAAACTGACCTGAAGTGACTTTACAGATAAATCAATGTCACATTGCTGGGCTTTGCCTTTCATTTAGTGAAAAATATTTGCGCTCCCTGTCGAACCGCAAGGTATTCAGCAGTCTCGAGGCCATAAGCGTACAAAGCCCCATATACTGAGTAGAAACTGCTTATTTCTCATGCACACATAGAAGAATTCGGAAAGAGCCAATTTTGTGTGCGATGAACAAAGATTATTCGCTGTTGATTGTCAGCGGCAAGTGCATTGACATACTTCCGCCTTCATTTGACCGTAATTCCGATAATAAGTTTCCCTCTGTCATAGCTGGTGATTTTATTACAGGTATAACGCCTAATTTCCTATCTTTATCATTGTTTTCATCATCCTACGAAAAATTGTTCAGTCTTCTTTCCGTCGTCTCACACACGGCGCCGTTTATCTGTCCCTAAATAAAACGTGGTTGACTCATCGACTTCTTCCGCGCGTCAACATTCTTCTTGAAATTTCCGAAAAAACAGATGATAACGAACGCATCCGTCACTGGACCACCCTATCTATTCAGTGTTGCACGATGATGGATCACAGTAACGGCCGTGAATGGTTCGTGCAGGCGACCATGCGACGAATAATTCAGTGGGTATATAAACTCTTGACCAGCATTTCTCTAGCCTAAACCAAACACGACCTAGGTAAGTCAACAAAAGTCAGCCCTTAAGTATGTGCGTAGATCAATTGCCGTCACATCTGCCGAACATTTTCCGCCTAAGTCATTGCATTCCATGATCTCCTATGTAAACTACTTCACCAAATCTAAAGTATAAAACTATCTAGGGCTTATTCCGCCTTCTTTCCGTAAATCCTAACCATAAATACCAGCTGAGATAAAAAACAAAAACGCTCTGGTACACTGCGCTGATGGTCCACAGACGACATCCTGTGGATGTGGCATAGTCAGTTCATTGTCTATCTAGCTGAACTCTCCGTCGACCCTCTCGCCTGTATTTAAAACTTAACCGACCTCCGACCGATAGCTTATTGTCTCTTCGTGACCTTTGCAACCTAAACGGAGCTTAATTGCTCCCGCAAGTCAAAAGATCAGTGTGCTCCCACCCATTATATATGTATATATAGGCGGAGTGGTATGACCGGCAAACACAGAGGAGACTGGAACGGACACGTTTGGCTTGTTAACCATCGTCAGCCAGTCATAGCAAACCCCGAACTGTAGAACACATGGAGCGCGATCCCGCAACCTGTTGGTTAGAAGTTCATGGCATCTAACCACTGAGCTTAGGGTTCGTTGTCCTGCCGGTTGCTAATGGGAATATACACTGGTACGGGGACGCTCACCGATATTTTTTAGCATTGCATATTCCCAATCGCAACCAGCAGATCGACGAGCCCGTGCCTCAGTGGGTAGAGTCGTTGGGTTTCTAACAGGTCGCGGTATCGAGCCCCAGGTGTTCCACATTTCGGGGTTGGGTATGACTGGCTGACAAGGGCTAATATGCCAGAAGTGGCCATTCCCATCTTCCTTGTGTTCGCCGGCAGTGCTTTTCTGCCCATTTCATGCGTCGCTGCGCGGTTGATGGTTGGACTCGAGAAAGAGCCCTAAGGCTAAACAGGGCGAATGGGTTCCGTAAGAAAACGATCAGTGAGCGTTCCTCTACCATTGTATGCATACATATATACTAAATAAGCAGCACACTAAGAATGCAGTAGGCCAGATACAGAGAGCTGTTTCACGGTTGCAGTCTTAGTGAGCTGCTTGTATATGATATTTGGCGTGTGTTCTATGACAGAATGGTCGTTGTCGTTAGTAGTAAGATGACAGGCGGACAGAAATGGATCGAGGGAGATCCTAACGACAGAGTCTGGAAGGTAGATTGGTACAGTACTGCTACGGGCTTATTTTGCCATCATTCAGCCATATATTACGCTGATCGGCAGCTGGGACCAGAAACGCGTACACGCTCACAGACACACTTGGCGCAGTTGGTCCACCAGATGGGTCATAAGCACTTCATCGAACCGAAGATAATCAGTGCCTCGTAACCTGTCATTGTCTGTCACTGCAGATCAGGTATTTATTCAACCAAGGATGGGCGGACACTGATTTATTGGCTTCCCGGAGCAAACAAGCTCCATATGGGTGCGAAGGTCACGAATATGCATCCAACTATTAGGCCCAAATTGACCCATCTGGTGGACCCCAGTGATGGACCACCTGTGCCAGGTGTGTCTGTGCGCATGTTTGTGTTTCTGGTATCAACTGCTGGTCAATGTTATGACTGGCTAAACGGAAGCAAAATAAGGCCGAAACATTGATATATCAATCTGTCCTCCAGACTCTGTCTTCTCCCCTCTGATATATACAGTACGTGAAGTATCTCATGAAATTTGAAAACGGAAACTGATGAGAGAATTTCTGGTTGCTTTAACGTTGAGCATTTTGTTCGCTCATCCACTTCCTTCAATAAAATATCCTTTTCTTGCGCAGAACTTGTGTTTACTCAATTCCATCAAGTAAAATGTCGGTAAATTTTAACGATAATGGACGTTGGATTATATTCGTGCACTTTCCTATGCTAATACATGTCTTAGACTCCGGTTACGCATCTGAACGACTTTTTCATTGACAGGATAGTAATTTACCAGCAAGAGTTTCAGTAAACAGATGTAGCCGAACGTGAAAATTTATTCGAAAGTCCGATGTTAACCATGTTGATCAATTTACTAACACAAAGATCATTTAAGAAAACCAGAAAGTTTATCAATTCCTAAAAGACAGATTAGCATATCTGTTCGATTTGGTGCCCTAAAGCGCAATTATAACACAGTTAGGGATTCTTTCGTTTAATTGGTCTGAAAAAGCGCTGTTTCGGGCATGTTTGTCGTCATTCAGACCCTGACCACCAGCTGGGACCGGAAACACAAACATGCGCACAGACACACATGGCGAAGCTGGTTTACCACTGGGGTCTACCAGATAGGTCATAAGTACTTCGTCGAACTGAAGTTCATCAGTGCCTCGCCAGCTGCCATTCTCTGCCGCTGCAGATCGGGTATTTATTCACTCAGGAATAGGCACACATCGATCCATTGGCTTCCCGAAGCATATATAATGGTGAAGGGGCGCTCACCGATCGTTCTTACTGAACTCACTCATTCCGTTGGTCCTTGCCGGCTTTCTCTTGAGTCCAACCGGCAGCCAAATAACGGCGCATGAAAAAGGCAGAATGTTATTACCGACAAATTGAATTGAAAAACAGGCATCCCAAGAGATTTAATTAGGAAGCTGGAATTCTTTGGGAAACAGTAGACTACATTGGGCAAATTTTCGAGACTGGTTCCCCAGCTTGTCTACAGGCAACGGGCGTGCATAAACAATTATTTTCTAAGCCGAGTCTGACAAAGTGTCCTATGATTGGTTACAGTCATCTTCTCGGGATTGGTTGAGTCAGTTTAAATCTGTCCTTGACGATTTTGCATGTGGCATCTAGATCGGGCCTTTGTCAGACTCGGTTTATAAGTTAACAGCTTTGCACGCCAATTGTCTAGAGACGATCTGGGGAATCAGTCTCGAAAATTTACACAAGGAAGTCTACTATTTCCCTAAGAATTTCATCTTCCTAACATATATATGTATATATCTTACGCATGGCAGGAAGGACACAGAGTGCGGGCAGCTTGTTGCAGTACAGTTCCGGGCTTATTCTGCCTTCATTCACTCAAACATAAACCTGACCGTCATATGAGGCCAGAAATATACACCTAGGCTCCTGCGCGGCGCAGGTAGTTCACTACTGGGGTCTGCCATATGGGCCATTGGCACTTGATTGAATCGAACCTCACCAGTGTCTCGCCATCGGTCATCCTCCGTAGCTGCATTCCATTCGTCTGTAAAATATGTGTTTCCCTACCCTAGGCTACGATTTTACAGTTTTAACATATGTGGTTTTGTAAAGTTTTCCTTCGAAAAAAGCTTAGGTCGCTTCATGTCTCACTGCATCCCGAAGTACACAACCTCAGTATGGGTGGCAAAGGTCACGAATAGGCCTAAAACTACGAGGCCCAACTTGCCCCATCTGGTAGACTCCAGTGGTGGACCGCCTGCACCCGGTGCGTCTGTGCGCATGTTTGTGGTTCTAATCCCAGCAGCTGGCCAGGGTTATGACTGGCTGAACAAAGGCAAAATAAGGCCGAAACAGTGATATATCAATATACCCACATTCTCTGTCATCCCTCCTCGCTGTAACTAGGATTTCGCCGACTTCGGCCTGGTAATTGGTTGCCTATTCGTGACCTTTTCCACCAATACAGACCTTAATTGCTCCTGCAAGTCAAAAGATCGGTGAGCGACCAATACTCATATACATATATATATATATATATATGGATATAGGCAAAAATGCTGACCCCAGGTGTTGATATGGAAGAGGAGGATGAGGCGATCTCTGGGGACGAAGGTTTATTCATCTGACGTTTCGTGTTCATGCTCGAGCACATCATCGGAGATAGGCTAAGTGAGAAATACAGGGTTCAAATAGGCCATCTGCACGCTCACCCGATAGGTTCGTCCCGTTGGCTTCTCGTTGGCCCCCCTCTCGCGCGTAGATGGTGCCTGACGGCCTCGTATGGCGCTGGCAAATCGATACTTCGGTTGATAGAATTCGTGTCTGATTTACAGGCCTCGATCACTTCCCTCGCCAGTTTGCTTTCGGCTCGGCCGAGCACCTGGGCGCCGTCAAAGTCGAACTTGTGATTGTTTTCCAGACAGTGCATGGCGACATGCGGTAGTACGTCCTTTCGCCTTACGGCCAAAGTGTGCTCATGCTTGCGCGTTCTTAGGCGTTTGTCGGTCATGCCACAGTAATTGGCTGGACAGTCCAGACATTTGACGCGGTAAATGACGCCTGACGTGTCTGCAGGTGGTAGCCGGTCCTTGGGCTGCATGCTTAAGCGGCGGATGGTGGCCTCCGGTCGGTGACCAATGCCCACGCCTAGCGGCCTTAGCATGCGCTCAGAGGCTTCGGAGACGTTACTCACGTAGGGCAAGACACGGAAGATTTCTGGTCTTTGTTTCTTCTCACCGTCCGTCTTCGTGTGCCTTCGGTACAAGCATTTGTTCACAAAACTGCGTGGATATCCATTGGCAAGGAAGAGGCGCCATAGGGTTTTACGTTCCCGCAGCTTCTCGGCTTCTGTGCCGCAGTGTGTGTGGATGCGGCGAAAAAGGGTCCGGACACAACTGCGTCTATGCGACAGGGGGTGATTGCTGTTGTAATGAAGAATTTTCTCCGTGTCTGTCGCCTTTCGAAAGACACCAGTCTGGAGGGTTCCGTCTTCCTGCCTCGATACCTGGACGTCGAGGAAAGGGAGCACTCCGTTATTTTCTTCCTCCATGGTAAAGGCGGTCTTGCAGGAACTGGAAACTCGGGTCTTCCAGACATACAAGCCGAAATTCTGGATGCGCTACGTAAACGACACCTTTGTCATCTTACACCGAAACGCGAAAGACAACTTTAAAAGAGAATTGGACTCAGTTTTTCCACAAATCCAATTTACCATGGAGGAAGAACATAACGGAGTGCTTCCTTTCCTCGCTTAATCATGCAGCCCAAGGACCGGCTACCACCTGCAGACACGTCAGGCGTCATTTACCGCGTCAAATGTCTGGACTGTCCAGCCAACTACTGTGGCATGACCGAAAAACGCCTAAGAACGCGCATGCATGAGCACACTTTGGCCGTAAGGCGAAAGGACGATTTACCGCATGTCACCATGCACTGTCTGGAAAACAATCACAAGTTCGACTTTGACGGCGCCCAGGTGCTCGGCCGAGCCGAAAGCAAACTGGCGAGGGAATTGATCGAGGCCTCCAAAGGATCCAAGTCCTCGAAGTAAGTACCGATGAATGCCTCCTGTCCTTTGACGTCGTTGCCTTATTTTCTTCCATACCACACGATTTGGCAATTGACTGCGTAGCCCAACGCTTACAGGAGAATCCTATTGAGATTCCAAATCAGCATATTATAGAACTGTACAAACTCTGCCTTAGAAACTACTGTCAATTCGATAATAAGTTCTACTAGCAGGTAAAGGGAACCCCAATGGGCTCGCCAATATCTGGACTGCTCGCAGAACTTGTATTGCAGCGACTAGAAAAGAAGGTTTTCCAAGATCTCAGCCCCAAAGTGTGGCTTCGCTATGTAGACCATACCTGTGTCGTGATAAAGAACTGCGAAGTTGAACGGCTGCATCAGAGGCTGAATGACGTCTTCCCGGCCATACAGTTTACTCGTGAAGAGGCAATAGGGGACAGCCTGCCGTTTTTTGATGTGAAAATACAAAGGCTGGGCGATGGTAGTCTCGCGGCGAGCGTCCATAGGAAAGGATCTAATTCCGAAATTATCCTCAATTATGGAGGCAACCACCCCGCAGCTCACAAAAGGAGCTGCGTTCGAACTCTGTTCCACCGGGCCTATCGTTATTGCAACAGTGACGATCTCCTTAAGAAAGAGCTTGCCTACTTGTATCGGTTGTTTCGATCCAACGGATATCCGACAAGTTTCGTAAAGAACTGCCTCAGACACCAGGCACAGCCGCAAGCTCCCACGCTCAACGGGGAAACTGTGTCTCGACAATTCTTCTCCCTGCCTTATATGCAAGGAGCGTCCGAAGTAATCGCCCGGCAGTTAAATCGCTCTGGTATTCGCATCGCCCAATAACCAGCATCCTCACTACGCACGGTGCTATCTCGAATCAAGGATCCTCTTCCCAAAGAGCAACAAACAAACGTAATTTATCGCATCCCGTGCTCAAATTGCTCTTGCGTGTATGTTGGTCATACAGGTCGAAGCCTGGGCACCCGTATTAATGATCACAAACTGGCTGTCCGTCGGCGAGACCCTCTATCCCTCGTCTTTGCTCACGCACTCGAGTGCGACCACCGATTCAATTGGGATGGCACTGAGGTCGTCGCCATGGCTAACACAAAACGAGCGAGAGAATTTCTCGAGGCTTGGTACTCCGATGCTGGTAGTATCAACCGCCATGTTGACCTGGACGCCCATTATGAGGGCCTACGCTCACGACTTACTGCC